AAAAACCTAACAAAGAAAGAAGTTTGAGGCTAGAAAGAAAAGCTGCACAGTCTGTAACTGCTTTAGAATTTCTGTTGGTTAGCCACCTTAATTACCAATGAATCCAAGCACCAATCCTTGCAATCGACATTTGATGTAAAATTTGATATTTGTGATCTAAATATGACTATAGGTCATTTCATTAAGTATAAAAATGAAATTTAAAAATTACTTTTTTTAATTATGGACAGATAACATTTTTATTGAAATCATATAAATTGAGACAAAGAAAATAGTTAATATGCGCTATATAAATAAGAATACTAAATAAATAACGCTTTGATTGATGATTTTAGTGAAATATTATACGCAATAATTAACATGTTACAAAAATTATATTATGTTAATAGTGTAAATAATCTTTACACCATTATTCATATAAATAATGTAAACCAATGTTTAAAAAAAGGAAATTACGCGGTTAAACAAACATATACTAGTTAATTAGTTATTATAGCTATATGATTTTCATTAATTACCACTCGCCATCAATATTCAGTTATAATTACGTCACCCACTTTTTCAGTTTGTATAAGTGTGTACGTTTGTATAATATAATTTGTATAACTGTTTAAAGTTCAGATGTTTTTGTTTCTATAAATTCATTTTTTCGAATTTATACAAAAATAAATACAAATGAATTGATACTAACCAGTTTATACAAATACGAACGAACTTTTGTATAATGTAATTTGTATAACTGTTTAAAGTTCAGAAAATAAATACAAATCAATTGATACTAATCAGTTTATACAAATACAAACAAAAATAGCTCAATTATACAAGCATACCTGCGAATTATACAAATAAGATCGCCCATAACAGCTTAAATTATAACTACAACCTGTAAATATATAAACTATAATTAATGAGCCTAATTAATTTTATTATAGTGGTTATTTGAGAAATTTCCTCTTAAAAAAAATCCGAAGAGCAAAAGGGTATGTTTTGGCTATTTGGGGGGTAAACCGCTAAATTCGTTTTTACTAAGAATTAAAAAATGAATTTTAAAAACATATCGATATGGTACAAAATTCAGAACAGAAGATTCTAAAAAAATAACTTTGAAGTGTAAATATACTAGCATATGTACATTGCAATATAAATAAATTTTAGTTGTTTATACATAATATAATAATAAAATACAAAAAAGAAAAAGTTTGAAATAAAATATTTTAGCGTACGTGTTTAGGATGACAGTGCTAAGTATGTGCAATTGTATTACTTTGATATTAAGAAAATAAATTAGACTTTTAAGTTATAATCTTAAATTTAAGATTGTGTATAATGTATCAATTTTTTTTTGAATTTTATGATGGGAAATATATATGTTAGGCAAAATGTTGAAATTGAAAATCACTAAGAGTTTATTCGGAAAGTTATCTGACAATTGAAATTGATATAAGACATAGTAATTACACAACTATGATAACATGTTTATTTGTTATAATATAATTATATTGTAATTATAAGCGTATTTTTTTTAATTGCACAAGTATAAACATATGCCTTTATACATAATATTAAATTAGATATCTATGATACATATTATTTCTTGAAAATTACCAATAAATTAAAATTAACATATATTTGTAATTAATATTGTAAAAAATCATTGATATATTTTTTTCAATTAATAATATTTAATTTAACTAATTATAAAAGCTAAAAGTACACATTTTGTTGGACTACATGTTCGGAAAACAGAAGATTAATAAAATCATTCAAATGTATGACAAAAAGAATATTTTATTAATTCTAACTAAAAAAATTCAAATGTATGACAAAAAGAATATTTTATCAATTCTAACTAAAAAAAATGAATGATATGAAAAAAAAAAGAGTCAAATTATTAAAGCAAATAAATCATAAATTCAAAATTTAAATGACCAAGGTCACTCCTATTTATATTTGTGTAGAGTTGGTCATCCAAAAAAAGAAATATTTATATAGGGATAATCAATTTAGATTCAAAATATTCCACACAATTATATTATCTACCACAAATATCTTTTCCTAAATATCTAAAAAAAAAATTAGTACAAATATCAAAGGAACTATGCCATAACTTTCTAAATTCCTTTTAATATCTATGATATTTATTCTTTCTTTCTTAAAAAAAAAAAACACTTTTAGATATATTTCACAGTATAAGATAGGTAACCCTTGGTAAAATCGAATTCAAAGTCACTGCGGTTAATTTAACTTTATCTTCTTAAAAGTTACTTTGGTTCCAAAATCATTTTACCTCAAATATTTATTTTTTCTCTAATAATTTACGTGACACTTTTTTTAGTCAATTTTAAAAGAATTAATAATGTCATTTTTCTTTTGATTAGAAAGAATTTAATTCTAAAATTCATGTTTTACTCATAATGAAATCATTCATAACTATATAGATATTTAAGATTTGTTTTTAGATCATAAATTTTAAACATTTTTCTTCATTTCTTAATATTTATGTCAAATCAAGCGTGCCATGTAAATCGAGCCACAAACTACACGAGTAAAACATTGGCAGTGTGGAACAAGTATCTCCAATCATTTGTGTTTAGTTTTTCTATTAGATAGTAATTTCCCTAAATTTTTTTATCCAGTTTATATGAAAATCTTTTAAGTTTTAGTCCTAAAAAATTTTAAATTTACTTTAATTTGCATTCGATCATATATATTTATTGTGGGAAGAGTGCATATTTTTGATTGAATAAACAATAGAAAATATATTATTTTTTTTAAAAAAATATCTTCTATTTTCGACGGTCTAACCGAAATAATTCTACGGATTTTCGAATGCTACAGTCAAAAAGCATTTAAATTAATTTATAAATTAGTTTTTAATAAAAATGGCTGTTGAGAATATCTGATTTTTGTTTCAAAAAGTTCTCTTCAATTTATAAATTAGTTTTCAATAATAATGGCTGTCGAGTGATAGCACTAAACAATTCATATTTTCAACGTTTTTTTGGTCATAAAACTTTTGACCTTTGAAGTTGTCTAGATATTCCGCGGTTTGATTTCTAATATAAATTAATTATTATTTTTATTTTAATTTATATGATTCACTTTTCTTTTTAATTCGTTTAAAAAATATATTCTATATTTAGTAATAATTTAATTTTAAAATACTAATTTTTACTCATTTTATTCTTAATAATAAAATGATTTATATATCCACACAAAAATCATTTTAAAAAAAAAAACTTCGTATCAAATCACACTACATCATACTCCCCTTGTCCCTAATTACTTGTCCATTTCTTTTTTTAGTTGTCTCTAATTACTTGTCCATTTTGACAAATCAATAAATGACAAATTTTTTTTACCTATTATACCCTCAATTAATTACTTTGAAAAATGTAGAACTTCTTAAAAATTTTAAATTTTTAATTCATCCAATTTATAATTAATAGAGGTAAAATGATAACTCACTATGTTGATTTTTTTTTCTTAATAAATGTGTCAATTTAAGAGTAGATAAATAATTAGGGACAAAGGGAGTATAAAATAGAACAGAGTAAATATAACTAATTTCAATTTCCAATGTACCACTAACCAACGAGGTAACATTCTGAATTATGTTTAATCATAGCAATACAAATCCCTATAAATGCAAAGTTAGTTATGATTGTATGAGTATAATAATTGGAAAAATCTTTTTGGCGAGAAAATTTTACCAGAATTTAGTCAGAATGATATTTTATTTATATTATTTTATATTTTAAAATATTTTTACCCTTTTAACTTTAATATTTTTTAACTAAAAATTGGAAAAAAAATCAGTTTATTTTAAAATAAAAAAAATATTATAATTTTTTTAATATTCTGGCCAAATTCTGATCAAATTTTCTGATTATTTAGCACTTTCTATAATAATTTATATTATTATACTACATCACGTTATTAGAGTCCCTTTTCAATAAAAAAAAAAATTTAAAAAAAGTGTGAATTCAACCCCAGGCCAGATCCTAATTAACTCCTATCATATTAATAATAAATTATACCACCTCACGTTATACGAGTCCCTCTTTAATTTTCTTTAATAAAGCAAAAAAATAACACCGTAATTAACTAGTTATATACACATCCACATCTACACCAGGGGAACTTTAATTTTCTTTTGCCAAATTAAAGTAGAGCTGCATGTTAGTATTTACAACTTTTTTCCCTAGCTACTTATAAATCTACTGCTTCCTCTGCCCAGTTTATATGATTCAATTTTTCTTTTTTAAGTACTTCATTCATCCCAATTTATATGAGTTAGTTTGACTTGATTCGAAGTTTTTTAAAAAAAAGACTTTGAAAATTTGTGATCTAAAATAAGTTTTAGATATCTGTGTGGTTAGAAATCATTTCATTAAAGGTAAAATAAACATTTTAAAGTAAGATTCTTTTCTTGTTTTCCAACCGGTGTCCGATACCCATGTCGCGCCGGGAAGTCCCGTAAAGCGCTCCATAACAAAGGCGGCTCTGTATCAAGGAGACTCAAACCCGAGACTTCTAGGTTAAGGATAAAGGAGTATTTACCACTCCACCACAATCATTGCTGGTAAGTTAAATTGCTACTAACTATCGAAATGTGTCATTCTTTTTTAGACTGATTAAAAAGGAAAATAAGTCATATAAAGTGGGACATAGGGAGTAACAATTTATCTTTAAAATGCTCATTTTACCCACAAATACCTAACACTTATTTTATACCACCAGTTTCAAAAGTCTTATTTTCTTTCTTAAACTCCATGTCAAGTCAAACTAACTCATATAAAATGGGACGGACTAATTATTAAGTATAATACAAATTTTACTCAACATAGACTTTATCTTTATTTAATTGAAGGGTTTGTCCACTTTTTTTTTTTTTTTTCTAAAAGGTACATGTTCTCTTCTTCAAATTAAAACCAAACCTATTCTATTTGCATATCGCATTTGTTCTTGAATCTCTTTAGCATAGTATTCCATTAAGAAGAAATACCATCAAAGAAATAAAAAAAAATAAAAAAAAGAAGAGAGAATGTTCCATGCCAAGAAACCTTCTACTATGAATTCTCATGATAGACCCATGTGTGTTCAAGGTGATTCCGGTCTCGTCCTTACCACTGATCCAAAACCTCGTCTTCGTTGGACTGTTGAGCTTCATGAACGCTTCGTTGATGCTGTTACTCAGTTAGGTGGACCTGATAGTACGTTCTCTACCTAACCCTATATGTAAGCTTTTCATATGATCACCAGAGGTCGATTCAAAATTTAAACTTATATGTTTTATTTTTTTTTTGGTTGTGTAGAGGCAACACCTAAGACTATTATGAGAGTTATGGGTGTTAAGGGTTTAACTCTTTACCATCTCAAGAGTCATCTTCAGGTTTAATTTTGATCTTCGCGATTAATTCAAGATCTACCTTTGAATATTTTTATCTTGATCATTTCATAACCTAATTGTTTTTTTTTTGTTGTTGTTATGAGAAGAAATTTAGACTGGGAAAACAACCGCACAAAGAATTTAATGATCACTCAGTGAAGGATAGCGATAGAGGTATTACTGATTCGTATTCTTAGTGTTTGTAGATGAATTTTTTTTTGTATAAGTGTATATTAATATGTTTAATTAACTTGCAGCTACAAGTTTAGAACTGCAAAGAAATTCAGCATCTTCATCTGGAATGATCGGACGTAATATGAATGAGTATGTTATTTTTTCTTGTTAATTTCCCTTTAAACTTTAGTATAAATTAAATTTCATCTTGTTATAGCTCCTTTAGTTTGCTTTCACTTTAATAATTATTAGGAATTGTTTCTTTGAAGGGTGTTTACACTAGTCCCTTTCTTTTCTTTTCTTGTTTCAAATTCTTTTTGAGGTGTATTAGAGGGTGTGATGTGAATCAAACTTTAATATAAATCCTCCAAGTATGAAAGGTAGAAATTTTAACAATATTGAGATCTTCTTTTTCTTTTATTCTTCTTCTAATAAATGCTTAATTCTATTAGATTGGGTGGTTTAATTAGTGGCGTAGCGAAAATATATAGGTTAAAAATTACTTTTCTTATGTACATATTAAATTTTGAATTTATTAATGAAAATTCTGATTTTGCCGTTGGATTGAACTTGTGATTATACAAGTAATTGTCATCAATGGGGTGTTAGATTTAATTTTATCGTTGGGTAATTATATGTGATACATGAAATAGCGTCAGTATTAACTTTCACATATCTGATGGAATTAGGATGCAAATGGAGGTGCAGAGAAGGCTGCATGAACAATTGGAGGTAATTATATATTTCAATTTTTTTTATTTTTTATCAAAGTGATATAATTTTCTGGTATTACCACATACAAGAGGTGGATCTTGAATTTTTAAAGTTAATAGGTTCAATCATTACTTCATTTGTCTTAATTTATGAAACATATTTGTGATTTGTTTTGGAGTGAAACGGACGAAAGTTAACGTTCGTTTGTGACAGTTCGTCCATTTGTGGGTGAAGTGTCCGTTTTGGTCTGTGTTTTAATAGAGGATCCTTTTTGATTTGTGGTGTCTAGAAAGTGTCTATTTTAAACCCAGACTCATAATTCTCTAGTATTACCGGATACAAGAGTTGGATCTTGAATTTTAAAGTTAATTAATAGGTTCAACCATTACTCCCTTCATCTCAATTTAAGTAGCATCGTTTGATTTTGACACAGTTTTTTTTTTTTTAAAAAAAGACATTTGAAATTCATAGCCTAAAACAAACCTTGTATATTTGTATATATGACTATAAATCATTCCATTAAAGGTAAAAGAAGAATTTCAAAGTTAAATTATTCCTAATTATGAAAAGGTGACATTCTTTCTAAAACAGACTAAAAAAGTAAAAGGTACGTACCACATAAATTGAGATAGACAGACATAGTATATCATTAGTATAACTTAGGAATTTAATTATGTGTGCATGCATGGTACAGGTACAGAGACACCTTCAATTGAGGATTGAAGCACAAGGAAAATACATGCAAACTATATTAGAAAAAGCTTGTCAAACATTGGGTGGAGAAGAAAACATGGCATTACCAACAAGAACCTTTAAAGGTATTGGAAATCATCAAGGAGGATTAATACCAGACATTTCAGCTGCCTTTAAAGAATTTGGAACACCTCCTCTAACTTTCTCGTCATTCCAAGATTTGAACATATGTGGAGAACACATCGATCTTCATGCTCAGAGTAGCATGGGTGAACGCTCATCGTCCTTTGATGGATTCATGAACTTGAGCAATACTACAACTGATCATAACTTGTCTCTTGGAAAGAAAAGGTCTAGCCCTTACAATACTAGCAATGGAAAGAGTCCATTTATGTGGTCAGATGATTTTCGTCTACATGAATTAGGTATGTATTGAAATTGTGTGATTATGAGATTTAAGCTGTTAGAGAGAACAAACTATATATATATGATCATTTTACTTACTTAGGTGGAGGAGGTTCGTGTTTAGGTTCTAATAATGAAGACGATCATCAAATTATTCAGATGGAGAGGAGTTGCAACCCTGAGATTGATTCGGTGTCTGATATCTACGAATCTAAGCCATTACTGCAAGATGAGAAGAAATTTGACGCGAAGCTGGAGAGACCTTCTCCAAGAAGAGCTGCCCAGGTTTCGAGTTTGAGTGCTCAAGGTGGACGAAATTCTGTTTTCGGGTAAAAACTTAGATAATTTTTTACACTGGAACTTTTTTCTAATTTATCGAGTTTATGATATATATTGTAGTATTACTATTACTATTACTATTATACTTAGGAAAAACAATAATTGTTGGTCACCATGCATATCAATGAATTCACTTTACTATAACGTATCATTTGACATGGCACGTACACCTTATTATAATTACCTAATTACAATATTGAAGGGCACCATCATTTTTTTAAACAATCTACACTTATATGTAATTTGTTGGATTGCACTAGATTTGGTGCGCACACGTCTTGATCATTTCTCATTTTTGTATTTTTGCCCATCCTATGTATGTATACGATGGATTCAAGATTTAAAATCATGAGTTTTAGAACAATAACTTTAATTTTGATATACAATGTTAATTTTATAGTCAAATATTTATAGATATATAGTACTCTATCTGTCTCCGTTTTTATAATTTACTTTTCTTTTTGAAATGACACGTTTCTATATTGAATTAAACTTAACAATTTAACTTTAAAATATTTATTTTATCTTTAATGAAATGATTTTCTAAACCACATTAATATCTGTCACTTATTTTAAATTATGTGTCGAGTCAAACTAACTGATATAAAATGTTTAAAATTTGTACATTCAATAGCCCTTCAATCCTTGTTTAATCATTACGCTTCTCATGGACACGTACCATTTTAAGTTGTTTTTTCTTTCTCTTTTAGTAACTTTTAAAAAGTTTAAGGTCCCAATAATGATATTTTTGGTACCGCAAAATGATCATCATGAGATTAACCGTTTTATTGGGAAACTTTCATTTTAGGCTAATTATTCATGATTACATAACAATAAAAGCAGAAAGAGGGTGGCTTGAACTTGATCTTCATAGCCAGTCAAAGAAAACCAAAGTAGAAAAAAGTGTAAAGAAGTTAAGGGTTACTTGAGAATATATTCTTTTTCTTTTATTTGAGCAAAATTAAAGATAGGGATATTTGGAAGCTTCTCTTTAGGAATGAGACAAAGAGACATAGAGCATCCAACTTTTATAATTTAGGATTCGATATTCCCAAGGCTAAGCGTGGCTCTTACAACTATAACAAGCTTTTCACTGGCGGTACGTACTCATCTAAACGGAATTCTATGCATATATACTTTTTCCCCTTATCACCTTTTGAGATTTTCACCTCGATCATGAATAGATACTATGGTCCTTCTTACCACTCTAGTAGTCTCGGGAGAAGTTAGGATGGATTGAGAGGTTCATTCGAATTTCTTTTAAAAGAAAATTACATTTTTTATATATGATTCAAATTATTTGTTATGCATATATAATTAATGTGTTAATTTTATATTTTAAATTCTCTTCGTGAAAATCTTGATTCTGTTACTGTCCCAGGAGCGTTATTTCCTCTAAAGGAAAATGAAGAACTCCTTCCATATTTTCTCATATATTTCCAATTGTTGATCATTCAAGCTACTCCTATTTCTAATCTATATATATATATATATATATTTAATTATCTTTCTAAATATAGAAGTCATATTTTATTTTTGAAAAAACAATCAAATGACACAAACATCTCTATCATAAATACTAATTCAGTAGTTTGAAATAATTACATGTCTCACTAATTAATAATTTCGTACCAAATTTCAAGTCAAATACACCACTTCTTTAGATTTCAAGTCAAATACATGTATCTTTGATACTAGATATACTCTGAAATACAGATACATAAGGAAAACAGTGAGTGAGAGAGGAAATAGCTAGGCGATTAATAGAGGCGGGTGAGAGTCCGTGTATCCCGTATATATGCAAATCACACCAGATACATATTGTATCTGTCTGGGATATCAAATACATTTCAAATATATTTTGAGATACGGATACATAGAGAGAAACGAGCGAGAGAGTTAGTGTATCTCATATATATGTGAATCACACTTAGTATATGAAACATATTATACTTAATTTGATCTGCATATATCTGAAATATATGTATCTGACAAAATAAATATGATATGAAAGGTAATTTCAAAAACTAAAGTAAAAAAACGTAATTAGCTAGGCCCTAAACTAATTAAATTTGTGTTGTGTACTCTTTATTTTATCTTTAATAAAAAGTTTTAATAGTTGCACAAATATTGTGTATGTTTAAGAGAACTGTGAGTACGTATTTTCAAAAGTTATTACTTATTTCTTGAACTCAATATTGAGTCAAATAGCTTCATATAAAATCGGAATAGAAGGATTAATTAATAAACACCACTCCTGTTATCCCATTTTAGGTAATACTTTTTTTTAAAAATCTATTAAAAAAAAATACACCTTTATCTTTTCTAGAAATTACTTAATCTTAGTATCTTTATTTTACTCCTAATGACATGACTCATTGGATTCTCACCAATGTCAATTCAAAATAAAAAGACATGCGAAATTTTCAACATCACTAATTTGAAATGATACTCTTAGTATGTTGCACATATTTGGTCTAAGTCTCTTTAATTTCTTAAATTTCAAATGGCATCCGATAAAATACTATATATATAAAGATGGTTAAAGTAGTATAAACCATCTATATTTGTCTTTTTCTAAATTCTTAACTTTAAATTCTTGTCATCTTAACCACCTATATCTTACAATTGTAGTGAGAATTTCTTTAAGTGATATAAATTATAAATTTTATTTACGTATGAAATAAATGATTAGTAGATCTATATGTGGGGTTGTATTTATAAAATATAACTTGTGGGTCAATTTTTATATTTAAAAAATTCTAAATCATGATGAAATTTCATCTCATGAAATCAGGATGAAGTCGCATGTCCATATGCTGATTTCATATCACATGTCGAAACGCCTACTAAATCAAAGTGGAAGAAGGGCTAGATGAAGGGATATAGTTACTTTATTCTATTTTTTTTCTTTTTGTTTTGATGGGAGTAATAAAGCATATATGCATGGTAGTGCAAATAAACTGATTTAACTTTATTGGTTGCAGTGAACTGTTAAGTTGGCAAGATGGAAAGGTCACAGATGGTGGCCAAGAGAGGTGGGAGTGAAAAGCTAACTATTTAAGGGGCGTGGGTTCTGGTGGGCAAAGTATTGAAGGTGAAGACAAGGCACTCATCATGCTTAATGCGAACATCGATGAAGCTTCTTTCTACTATATATATATAGCTTTTTGTAGGACCAAACTTGTATCCTTCAAATATATCACTAACCACCAAAAAGGGATATGCCACATGAAATGTTAATCAAAGTTTTGCATGCATGCATGGCTCTGCATCTTTCATCATCACTTACTTTTTCTACACAATATTCAAAGTGTAAGAGGGGGTAAATTGAATTCTTTTTTCTTTTTTGACCAGCTAACTCTATTCACTATATACACATTAATAAAAAATGTTAAAGTCTTTACTAGCATTATATAATTGTCATTAGATTCAATGTCGCTAGAGACTTTAGGGACAAATATAAAGAGTGCTAATTGTCACTAAAAATATATATTTAGCTGCGTTTAAGTTATTGTCGTTAATTAATTGCCACTGAAGATGATTTTTGATGTAATGTAGACTGATAATATATGCACTAAATAAAAATTATAATAATGTAGAAAGTAATTGCTTGAAAATTGAATGACACGGTATGTTTTTATACCGGTAGGAATCTAATGTGGATCTTAAATTTAGTTCTCTTAGATTCCAAGGGCGTTCTCTATAAGCTCGTAAAATAGTGACGAAGTGTAACACTATGTCTATACTCAATCTTTCTTATTTTACTCTTTTTACAATGTCACATCAACAATATAATATTGTTCTCTCCTCTAATATATTTAGTAGTACACAATAAATCACTCATAAATACAATGCTTATTAAAATTAGAGAAAATAACTTGAGAAGGTTAAGACGAAATTATGTCTTGCTTTCATTTGCAATGAGCCTTAATGTAGGTTTGAACTAGACCTTTGGGCTATTTCGCAAAGATGACAACCCAAGAATTTTTGTCACGCCCGAGCCTATATCCTGGGCGAGACTGGCACTCGATAACCATTGTTGGCCCCAAGCGTACCCTTAGCCTGGCTTACTACTCAGCGGAAGACTTTACTCAACATTTAAAACAACTCAAGAGATAGATTCATAACTCAAACTTAGAATGCATAAAGGAAAACATTCGACTGGCCATAAAGGCAACTCAATTCTTATAATCAAAACAACTGAAATGAATAAGACTAATGAACTAATAATGTCTAACTGTCTATGAAGCCTCTAATAACTAAGAGGGATGTTGAGACAAGACCCCCGATCATCCTAACAACGGACTAATAAGCAATAAAAAGGGAATCCTCCGGAAAGCAAGGAGGCTCACCAATTGGCTCTGAGATGCTCAACTGGATCAACGAGGCGCTAAAGGTTGATCCTAATTTCCTATATCTGCATCATTTTATGATGCAAGCCAAATGGCATCAGTACATTGAATGTACGAGCATGCGAAGGGAAATCTAAGCATGACATAAGCTTGAAATGAATTCTGAAAGAAACACTTACCTTAGCTTTACTCAACTCATAGATACTCAACTTAATGCAGAAATAAACAACAGTAAAGATGCAGTTTGTATAAAGCATTTAAACAGTAAGTAGCAACTCAATGTATTGGAGATATACAATAACAACTTAATTTATATATATAATAAAGTAATATAATTATGTGGGAGTTTCTCTAACCGACAACCATCACTATGAGCTATGTTATGATACAACGTCTCACCCACGCTGCCAAAATTGTCATATTACTTGCCCGGATATAGAACGCCTCAACTAAGTGGATCCGCTAGTCTATGCTGGAAAGAATTAAGGAATCATCCAAAAAGTATGACCCTTTCTACCTACGTTGGCTACATGATTTATGGAGACTTGAGTTATTATGAACTCATCCCCATATCGGTGCTCAATACTACTCCCAAAACATACTCAGTTAATATGTTTAAAAACATAACTCTTTCTCTGTGATTTGAGGTTATTACTCAAAAAGTTTATCTCTTAAAAGGGATGGAACTCAAAACTACT